AATTAGCATTCTATTCTTGATTAGCAATTTTTAGGTGAAGTATCTAGGAGTAGAAGCTATGATTAGCTTGGCTATTGAGTGAGTGTTTGAATTGGAAATAAGGTTAGTATTACCCTTATTATTGTTTTTGTAAATAAAAGCATGAAGCCTCACATTGTTTTAGACTTTCAGTTATCAATTCTCAAATGGAGGGTAGTATACCACAAGGTAAAGCAATATGGGACCCCGAGACTGTGGATGTGTTTTGTGATTTGTGTATTATAGAGGTGGAAGCTGGACGCTGTCCTGGAACTCATTTGGATAAAGTTGGATGGGAAAATTTAATTCGGAAATTTAATGAAGCAACTAAACGAGTATATAAAAGACGACAATTGAAGAATAAATGGGATGCTTTGAAGAATGATTGGAAGCTTTGGAAGGAACTTATTAGTAAAGAAACTGGTCTAGGTTGGAACATTAAGAAGAATACTATTGATGCATCTGAGGAGTGGTGGCATAATAAATTGCAGGTATACAGAATTATAGGATTTGTCATTCTTTATTCTAGTATTGGACTAGGCAGCTTAATTTTTTCAAATGCTCTTGCAGATTCATCCCAACGCAGCGAGGTTTCGCACTCGGGGAATTGAACCACTGTTAGAAGAAAAGTTAAATAGGATGTTCATGAATACTGTGGCCACAGGAGTGTATTCTTGGACACCATCTTTTGGACAAGTGCCATGTGAGTCTGATAAAGGTGAAAATGATAAATCTAGTCTACCTGAACAACTTGAGAGTAGTGGTGAGTCAGGTGAACCAATCCGAAGTGAACTGGCACAAGCTCGTAAGAATAAGAGGTCAATTGAGAGAGATGAGAGACAAAATAAAGTCAAGAAAGGAAAAGGAAATGTGAAGGTTGGAGGGGCTGCTAAATTGTCTCAACAAATTGATCGCCTTGTCGATATAGTTGAGAGTAGAAGTACTGGATCATCGATTGCGCCATCTGACACTGGAAACTGTAGCATGGCAAAAGTTGTTGAAGTTCTAGATTCATTACCAGGATTACAAACTGGAAGCGAGTTGTATTTCTTTTCGGTTCACTTGTTGTTAGACAAGTGTAAGAGAGACGCATTTATGGCTTTTAAGAAACCTGAGGTGAAGCTCAATTGGCTTAAGTTTGAACATGGGCTAGGATCCTCCACTTAGATTTCCATTCCTCATTTCCTTTTAGTGGGGTTTTCTTGTTGTATTATAGGTTGAGACAGTTATTCTCTTTTTTTTTTTTTGAATGACAGGTTTATTGTTGTTGCTAAAGATGGCTGACAATGGTGATGAGTTTACAAATTTCACCAATTTGAATGACAGGTTTATTGTTGTTGCTAAAGATGGCTGACAATGGTGATGAGTTTACAAATTTCACCAATTTGAATGACAGGTTTATTGTTGTTGCTAAAGATGGCTGACAATGGTGATGAGTTTACAAATTTCACCAATTTGAATGACAGGTTTATTGTTGTTGCTAAAGATGGCTGACAATGGTGATGAGTTTGATCTACAATTTACATGTCTCATTGCTCGACTCATTGAATATTACTACAACACGTATGTTCATAAGAATCCGTGTATGAACTCTTCACAAACGGGAAACATGTGGGTGACGGAATTATTAAGAGGGCATGAAATTAGAAGTTATAGGATGTTTAGAATGGATAAGAACGTGTTTTTGAAGCTATGTAATGATCTACAGAGTAAGTATGGATTACAGGGATCAAGGAATATGTGTGCAACTGAAATACTTGGAATGTTTTTATTCATTTTGGGTCAGGGTGCGGGGAATCGTTCAGCACAAGAGCGATTTCAACGCTTTGGTGAGACTGTGAATAGATATTTTAATTATGTTTTAGAAATTGTATGTCGTATGAGCATCGATATTATACAGCCTCCAGATCTAGAGTTTAATGACATACCAATAGAGATACTGACGGATCGTAGATATATGCCACATTTTAAGGTAAAATCATACTTTTAATATGCTTCATTCCCTACTAAAAGCATACTTTTTATATGCTTCATTCCCTATTAAAATTATGTTTATTTATACATTAAAAATTCTTCTTTTTAGAATTGTATTGGTGCGATAGATGGCGTGCATATTCAAGCTACAATACCACCAGAAGATTAGGTGCCATTTATCGGAAGAAAGCGTGTGCCAACCCAAAATGTGATGGCTGCTTGTGATTTCAGTATGAAATTTATATATGCATATGCAGGTTGGGAAGGTAGTGCCCATGATACAAGAATATTCTTATCAGCACTACGTAACCGACATTTGAAATTTCCAAAACCACCTGAAGGTTAAAACATTGCCTATATTTTATATTATATATGTTTTACATTTTACTAATTCTCGTGTTTTTATTTTAATAGGTAAATATTATTTAGTTGACGCGGGTTATCCACAATTGAAAGGATTTCTTGGACCTTATAAAGGAGAACGATACCATTTACCACAATTTTGAATGGGTCGTCGACCAATGGGCAGTAAAGAGGTATTCAACCAAGCACATTCTTCTCTTCGAAGTGTCATTGAACGCACTTTTGGTGTTTGGAAGAAAAAATGGAAAATTTTGAGAGACATGCCTAATTATTCATTTAAGAAGCAAGTAAAAATAGTTATTGCAATAATGGCGCTTCATAATTATATTAGGATGCATGATCTGATCGACATTTTCAAGAAATGGAGGCTAATCTAGATGTTTTCGCTTATGAAGAGCATCAACTGGAGGATAATGTAGAAAAAGATGAAGCTTCACTATCACAAGAAATGGTTGAAGTACGAGATCAGATTACGACAAGTTTAATGAACACGGCTTAATTCTTTTGATGGCTCTGTCACTTTTTGAACATGGAATGTACTTTTTTGTTCACAAATTGATTACTCACTAATACTCCTTGTAGTGAGTAATCAATTTGTATACTTTTGTATAACGAAACAATTTATAATGATTTAGGAATCGTATACTTTTTTCTTTTTGTAATATACTTTATTATTACTTTATTATTACTATGTGAATTATAATTAATTATCATGAAAAAAAAAAGAATTAATTATCATAAATTTATTGTTAAAAAAAGTAAAATCATAGCATTATGTTTTTTTAAAGCTAAATAAATATTTCTAATTATTAAAAACAATTATATATATTTAACTTTCATACCATGTCTATTTTGGTCATTTTACATACCCACAACAATTCTACATCAAAATTTACTAAACACTATTACACTGATTTTAGAACCAGCACAACTACTATAATTACAATTTACCAAACACTCAGCGGATTCTTGTAACAGCAGCTTCTTCCTTCAGCACAACTAAAAGCAATTAATTTAAAATCCGCAGCAATACCAAACTAAGCCTAAAGCCGCTACTCAGGCCGCTCTTGCGGCTAATTACGCTCGACCTATGCAATGTAGGGTAGGCATGGATCTCACAATGATGTGTACATGACCGACCCTTTGAATCATTCTTGCAACTTATTATCAGAAGCTTTCCTAATTTCATTTCATCAACGAATACATAAGAAATTGCACTCACTGACACTAGTTTCCAAGACTGAAACAGGGATGTATGAAGCAGGTTATTCTATTCAATTAAGCTTCATATAATCCAATTATCATCAGGTCAAAAGAATTCATGCCTCAGACAATTAAGATTAATACACGCTTCAAGTTTAAAGGTACAAACATTTGTAATCTTCATTAAAGATCACCTGGCCAATTTGAGGACTTAGTAAAACAAAATCACATATGCAGTCAACCAGCTTAACATGTCCAGACCACTCGAGATGATCAAGTTCAGCAGTTTGATTTATCAGATCTCTAAGATGCATCAAGCTCTGCAGACACTAGAAAGGAGTTAATTAAACAATGATTATCATGATATAAATCTTTTGTAAACGACTTTATGATTGATGAAAACTTTGTTGAATATCAAAAACGATTTACTAACAAATACAAGTATGATAATAAAGTATTGTTTAAAAGAAAATTTAAAAAATAAAAAGAAAGGAAGATAGACGTCTTGAAACAAGAAAAATACTACCAAAAATAAATAAATAAATAAACAAAAAGCTCAAGGGCAGAATAGATAATAATAGTAGACATAGTTTACACAACATAGGATAGCGTAAAGATAATGTAAGAGTGCAAATGATATTTACTCTATTGTGCTCTCAAAAACAACAACAACAACAATAATAACCAAAAACTAAAAAAAATAAAAAAACAAAACAAAACAAACAAACAAATAAATTTTGCTTTTCTACAAAGCATAATTGCTCACATTATTTACATTAGAAGGAGAACTGAAAAGACCTGTTCAGATTTCATATCCAAAGAAGAAGAGACCAGTTTTAGCTTTCCTACTATCGTTCAAGGATAATAAAGTCTCCAGCAAAGCACAGATAGCAGCTAATGTGCTGATACAATCAAGCTTAAGACTGTAGTGAATCTCAATCATGCACAATATTGATCTGCAAAGAAAACACGTAAAGACCTGTTATTTTACACATTTAACATGAGGCACTAAATATGCCTCTCTGAATTCTGCAGTAACTTTTACTTTCAGTATTAGGTTGTCTCGTACCAAATCAGTAAAATTTGAAGATGGCGACCAGTAGGGATGTTGACAAAGGTTGTACAGAATTCTTTCGCGAACCTATTTGACAATAGAGAATAAAAAACAGTATACATATGGGGGTAAAAGAACAGAAGTGATAGAATTTTTAAGTTTAGTGCAAGCCATACAGAATAAGTATGCAATGTACCTTTGAATTGCATTCTTTGTCCATGAGTTCAAACAAAATATCCCATGTAACAACGTGTAGAACAGAGAAAAATCCCGAAATAAGTGATATCATGTTAAACTTCCATTTCTCAACAGACGAAGATATACCACTGGAACGTTTCCCACAAACAGCTAAAATATCAACATCTCCAGCATCATCATTCACATCTAACTCCAGGTCCATAATTCTACTTTTACTACTATCGAAAGGGGACATACTATGTACAGGAGTAACAGATGCAGATAAGCCTTGCAGCATCTTTTCGGACTGAAAAACTGTTGAACTGTTGCAATATTTTTCATATCCTTTAGCAAGTTCTTTTAGAAGTCTCTCAATTGATTGCATAACTGCATCTGTGCATCATATAGTGCAATATCCGTACAGCTTTGATCTCTCTGTTCAACAAATAGAGGAGAAGAGACAAAACTCCCAAAGGAAGTAACAAGAGCACGGTCACCAACAAAAAAGTCATAGCTAAAGCAACCAGATGAAAGATCATTTTGGTTACTCTGGATTACATCAACAGCACGATCCAGCAATTCCAACAGGTGCTGGCCTACTTTTGAGGGGAATGGTGAAATTCCCTCTCCTTGCCTGGAAAGAACCAGAGGCATGTAAACCATAAAGAAAAGAAAATTAAAAAAAAAAGGAAAATCAATGAGAAAATATGACGTTCCAAACCATAATGAACTTCCTAGCGTAGACATAACATGATTTGAAAAACAGAGAATATCATGAGAAATTAGTTTTCTAGATGGAGCCTATATATTCACTCCTGAGAACCTCAAACCAAAGGGCCTAAGAACACCAAATTCCTGTTCTAGCCCTTCCCTCCCCTACCCTTCTCTAGTTCTGGACTCTGTTTCAACATCCAACTACCAAATAAAAAGTCACTTGAGCAGAAAAATCTCCCAACCAAAACGGATAAGGAACATATTTGAAAAGAAAAACCAGCAAAATCCTTAGTTTGAAAAACCCAAAAAGCCGTCCAATATTTAGTTCTTGCCCAAATATCACCAACGTCTTCAACTTTTTCAAATATGCATTTCTTCCTCTATAACCATAGCGCCCAAGTGACAACTTGTACAGCCAATATCTTCCAATAAGTAAACTATCAATCATCAATCATCAAATCAGTATTTCTGTCTAGATTTGTCCAAGAAATTAGAAACTCCCAAAAATGCTATACCACAAGTTTATAGAGAAAGGACAATGAAGAAAAAGATTATCCATTGACATTACCAGAGGATGAGAAAGGTAAGGTATTCCCATTCGTGATCGTATTAAGTTTACTAAGCACAAGTACCCAATTAAACACTTGAATTTTAGAAGGAACTGACGTTTGAAAATGGCAGAATTTGAAAGGGGATAAGGAACAATTATCAACCAGGAATTTGAAGAACGGTTTATAGGAAAACAAACCCGATCCGTCAAATTTCCACATCCATCTATCCGAGATACATTCACACAACTTCACTCCTCTGAAACATAACAACAATTCCACAACCTCCCCCATTTCTCTATCACTAGGCTCTCTAAAAAAGTGGAGATTCCAAGAAGCTCTATTTTCAGGTTTGACAAGGAAAAAGACAAATTGGTTCATTGTGGATTGAAGAAATTCTATATAGGCTCAGAAACTAACTAGAGAAAGACCCATCCATACATTGTCCCAAAATCTCGCTCACCTCCCATCACCCACTTTCAACTTTAATATGCGCTACAAAATCACAACATAATAACTGTATTGCTCCAAGGGCACTTATATGTCACCCCCACAACTTCTCCAGCCTCCCACACGCCACTATTACTACCATATTTTCCTTTTATCACACTGCCATAACGAATTCAGATCACCCAGAAATCTGCATCTGCCATATATCATTTTTTATGGGAATGGGGATCTAAGATTGCTATTGTAGGTTTTTTTTTTTTTTTTTTTTTCCTTTCTGATAGAGGACTCCTTGTCCTATATTTTCTGTACTTTTTTGGCTATTGCTGAAGTTTCTTGTTTCTGATTTTAAAGAAATGAATAAGGAAACACAATGCTTAAGCATGAAATACCTTATCCACAAAACAATAAAATAAAAAGACCAGCACCCACCATGACCAAATTTGAATTTGGAGAATGGAGGGAATAGGGAAAATGAGGACCATACCTCACAAAGTATGAGCCATGGACCAAGTTTGACAAGAGAGTGCACGAAAACAACAAGTCTGACAGAGGCCTAGCTTCAATATCTTTGTCAACTAGAGTTGCAAGAACAAAAGTCTCCATTTCAAGCAGTAGGGGATCTCTCAACTGCCACGGAAGGTGTGCACTTGGATGGCTTGAGGATGAAGAAACCAAATAAAATTATCAAATGGTCGACATAAGTGAAAAACACATTTTAACTTCAATTATAAAAAAGTTTCATAAAACGAAAGTCAGATACCTTAACAGAGGACTCTGTATCAATATTCACAAGTACTTCAATGGAGCATTCAAAAAGTTCGTGCACATAATCTTGCTCAAGTTCCTCTGCCTACAATAAATTACCTACTTTAAGTTAGCTAGTAGTAACTAGTATGTATACGCTCATAAACCATTGCTACCATGACAGATTACCTTAACCCAGTCATTCATAGCCCCATTAACATCTTGAGGAGCATAGAATGGAGGAAGTCGATTGTGGCATTGCTTAAAAGGTGCACAACCAGTAGAAAGAGAATAAACAGCTGCAGGCAACAACAATACCAGGTGCTCGTTGAACATGGAAGATTCCTGCATATGAAGACCCAATGGGTAAGATTATGGAATAACTAGAAGTTTTTTTTTTTTTTTTTTTTTTTTGAAAAGAAACAACCTTTATTAAGATCTATAATAAATTATTCTATCTGGTTGAAAGAAATGTGGAAAATGAAATAAAACACGTTGAACAAATATAGTGCCAGTCACCGATACAAAAAAGAGATAGTTGCAGGATTCGTAGTGTTTACATTTTATTTTCAATTGGTAAATACTCCATTCCTTTATGTTGTCAATGACTTTTGCAAAACAACAAAAACAGACCTGCCAGTTAAAATGACCCAAAACTGCTTTCAGAAGGCTTTTCCGAAGATGTAAAATGTCTCGAATATCACCCTGCATAAAACAAAGATAGTGATGCATTATACATGTCTGCCTCATTTCCTTGATTCAAAGTTCAAACTTCATGCTGCCTATAACCACAAATGAGAAAGGCCAAACATCAGCGTCTAACTCCAGAATAGACTCGTCGAGGACAAGAGCCAGTAAGACCAGGCTAACTCAAATCACAATCCAGTACCGAGTTTCTCTGCAAGTGTTCCCATGTCTAACTAAGTTTGTGTGAGCATGAGATGTGTACACGCTGCACATGAATACCAGTAAGACCACGCTACCTAAAATCACAACCCAGTACCGAGTTTCTCTGTAAGTGTTCCCATTTCTAACTGAGTTTGGGTGTGCATGAGATGTTTACACAATGTAAATGAGTACCAGTAAGACCACGCTAACTAAAATCACAATCCAGTAACAAGTTTCTCTGTAAGTGTTCCCATGTCTAACTGAGTTTGCGTGTGCATAAGATGTTTACACGCTGTAATGAATGCCAAAGCAGAAACTAAGTTAACCCAACCGAATATAAACATAGATCATATTAGGCTACACTATTTAAACTCAGATGCATGTCAATAAGAGGCTGCCTCTAAATCACATGCGCTACAGAACATTTGTGAGAAATTGTGAATGAAATTCTCTTTATTTCTGGTTCAATATTACAGCCAATAAATATAGGATTACAATGAGAAACATAAACTAGAAACTACCTAAAATAGGAAACGGTGAATGAATACCAAATCCTCTATTCTAGGAAACTAATTACAATTACTTTACAGCTAGCACTCCTCTGTAAATCAGAGAAGATCCGGATCCTAGAGATCACAAAGAATCCGGATTTCCACACTCCCCCTCAAGCTAGGTTGTAGATGTTGAGCAATCCTAGCTTGGAATTAAGTTCATCAAAAAACTTCCTGGGTATGGCCTTAGTTAGAATATCTGCTATTTGTTGAGTGGTTGGAATGTATTGGAGTGATATCGTTTCAGCCTCTATCTTCTCTTTGATAAAGTGTCTGTCAATCTCGACATGCTTTGTTCTGTTGTGATGAACCGGATTCTTTGCTATGCTGATAGCTGATTGATTGTCGCATAACACTCTCATAGGTTTTGCAATGGGAATCTTTAGTTCACAAAGTACCCTCTTCAACCACATTCCTTCACAGATACCATGAGCTAGTGCCCTGAACTCTACCTCCGCACTACTTCGAGACACTACTGGCTGCTTTTTGCTTCGCCATGTAACTAGGTTACCCCAGACATATGTACAATATCCGGAAGTTGATCTTCTATCTGTAACAGACCCAGCCCAATCTGCATCAGTGTAGATCTCAATCTCCCTCCTTTCAGACCTTTTAAAGAATAATCCTTGACCTGGTGTCATTTTTAAGTATCTTAGGATCTTGTATACTGCCTCCATGTGTTCTTCTGTTGGGTCATTCATAAATTGGCTCACCATACTAACAGCAAAACTAATATCCGGTCTAGTGTGGGAGAGATAAATGAGTTTCCCAACTAACCTTTGATACCTTCCTTTGTCAATTGGTGCGCTTTCTTCCCAGTTTTATGTTGGGATCCATAGGAGTGTCAGCAGGCTTGGATCCAAGCATCCCTGTTTTGTTCAACAAGTCCAGCACATACTTTCGCTGAGAAACTGAAATTCCCTTTCTTGAACAGGCTACCTCCATTCCTAGAAAGTACTTAAGTGTCCCCAAGTCCTTGACCTCAAATTCCCTTGCTAAAAAACTCTTCAGTTTGGTTATTTCTTCCAGATTATCTCCAGTCAGAATTATGTCGTCAACATACACAATGAGAATTGCCTTTTTTTCAGAGGCTGCATGTTTGACAAACATAGTGTGATCTGTCTGACATTGATCATACCCAAATCCTTTTACAACTTTAGTGAACCTGTCAAACCATGCCCTTGGTGATTGCTTTAGGCCATATAGCGACTTTTTGAGTTTGCACGCTTTGTTGGATGTTGTTCCACTCTCAAATCCTGGTGGTATCTCCATGTACACTTCTTCTTCTAAATCCCCGTTGAGGAAAGCATTCTTCACATCAAGCTGAAATAGCGGCCAGTCTAGATTGGAAGCAAGAGAAAGTAACACCCGAACTGTATTAAGTTTTGCAACAGGGGCAAAGGTCTCCTGGTAATCAATTCCGTAAGATTGAGTAAACCCCTTAGCAACAAGTCGAGCCCTAAATCTGTTTATACTGCCATCAACATTGTGTTTGATTGTGAAGATCCATTTACAACCAACCGGGCGTTTGTCTGCT